CTGGAATTAGCCATTTCCCCGAGGAACCCGGTGCTTCTTAATGGGGAGTGGGATTAGAGACCAGCATCTGGGTGTCAGGTGTACTCATACCAACTGGTTATTATCAGAAAGAGCTGCCAATTTCCAAATTATATCTATTTTGTAGTTGTATTTTATGGATTACGGGAGAGGCTGAGCATATTTTCATGTTTTCTGGCCATGTCCATTGCCTTTTTGTGAATTGCTTACTCAAGTCCTTTGTGGTATGTCAATCTTTTTCTTACTAAAATGAGTTAATAACATTATAGCATTTAGAATACTGCCTGACACACAGTAAGGTTACATATTGCTAGAGGATATTACTTCGTATTTATTCTTTGTTAAAAGTATCCAGAGTAAATTTTACACTCAGTGCGCTGGACACGTGTTGCTCTTCTGCAGTCACAGTGGGGACAGGACCTGTGCCTGCATCCCGTGATGCTGTCTGCCACTGCCCAAAATGTATGGGTCTACAAGTCACACCTCCCTTGTCATTCACTTGGCTCTGCTTCGTGGTGATGGCAAACATGGGCTGGCACCCAAGCCCTAATGACAAAGGTCCAGGCCCTTCAGCACCATGTGCAGCCTCTCAGCATGGACAATGGGCCCCGAAGTCACTGCAGCTCACTGTTCCTCTCCCACCCTACAGGAAGTAGATTGGGAAGCAGAGCTGGCCGTGGTCATTGGAAAGAAAGGCAAGCACATCAAGGTGAGGTGGAAAGGTGGGGCTCCCAGGCCAGAGTGTAGCAGAGGCCCCAGCTCCTGCCTCTCCCAGTGCTGACCTCTCACCAACACACGGTGCCAGCTGTCCCTGACCCTGGGAAGCGGTCAACCTCCTTGCTCCCTGACACTGCCTTGCCCTTCACCTACCTTTGGCTGTCTCTGACTACTAACACGGGATAACAGCTTAGAGATCCTTTACCAAAGGTGTTGGTGTCACCCGTGATCTAACCTCCTGTATGGCCACATCCCCTGCCCCATAGGCCACAGATGCCATGGCCCACGTGGCCGGCTTCACTGTGGCTCATGACGTGAGTGCTCGTGACTGGCTAACGACACGCAATGGGAAACAGTGGCTGCTGGGGAAAACCTTCGACACCTTCTGCCCTCTGGGCCCTGCCTTGGTGACCAAGGACAGTGTAGCAGGTAGGTCCCTGGACCCTGCCCCCTTGTACCTACCATTGCACAGATGAACAGCGTTCCAAGGAGGAGCGTGGGTTCAGGTACATGCGGCGCCTGCCCTCCCTGGCCACCCTTTCACTGCTGACTCTACACAGGGCAAGTCTCTTACCCTCAGCCATGAGTTCTCCCATGGGCTTCCTTCCCAAGCCCCCTAGAGGGAACACAACTGCAGAGGATGTGAAACTGCAGGAAGTAAATGACAACACTGAGCTGATGGGTGGATCAGGCTTCCTGTGGCTGCCGCCATCTGAAACAATCTAAGTTGAGCATCATGGAGCATAGTTATCACAAGGCCCTGGCATCTTCCACAGTACAGGACATGAGAGCCCGTGTGACTCACTCAGCCATTGTGGAAACAGAACAGCACCGACCACATACAGTGAGGAGACAGCGCCAGGACGGGGGCAGTGCCCCAGAGGGCAGAGCGCAGCCTCTTAACACAACCGCCCACAACTGTGGTGGAGGTGGTTGGGGGGAGGTATCCATGTGGGCCAGCCATGCCAGGATGCCAAAGACCCCATTACCTCACAGCACCCCATGCAGAGTCCTCAGTAAAGTTAAATTGTTTTAGCTGCTCTACTTAAGGGGGGTAGAACACTAAGACCACCACCAACAGTTGAAAGTGCTGGTTAGCCAGGATGTTCTTACACTAATCTATCCCCTGCCAGCATCCAGTACACAAGGCTTTACTGTCCCGGCTAGAACCATTACCTCACTGCTTTATGGATGCTAAGTCTTTTTTGTGTATTTGTTTTCTTTTGGATTTTTTTTTCTTTTTCTTTTCTTTTGGAATGGTCTTACCTGGACCACAGCCTGGAGTGCAGTGGCCCAATCTCAGCTCACTGAAGCCTCAATATCCAGGGTTCAAGCGATCCTCCCGCCTCAGCCTCCTGAGTCGCTGGGACTACAGGCATGCATCACCACGCCTGGCTAATGTTTTTATTATTTTTTATAGAGACAAGCACTCACTACGTTCCCCAGCCTGGTTTTGAACTCCTGAGCTTAATCAGTCCTTGCCTGCTTTGACCTCCCAGAGTGCTGTGATTACAGGCGTGAGCACCAGGCTTGGCCCTACCCAGGAGGCATTTTTGTATCTACAGGTGTCATCCTGTGCTGTAGACAGATGCCCTTTTTTTTTCAAAGCAAAAACCTGAGCCATTTTTCTCTCCCTCTTCAGAGTCTGGAACATCCTCTCAACTCAGCCCTGTGACTACTGCCTGGTGCTCTTGGCGGGGATGCAGGGAGGCCTGAAATGGCCAATGTCTATACAGAAAGTTCTAACATAGAGCACTGAGTTAATGTGGGCACAAAGCCCTTACACCTGGCAAGTCACAAAGCTCCGCTACAGTTGTGTTTATGAAATACTGGGGGGTTTGAGGGGGGAAAGGGATAACCCCAAGGTACCGTCTTTGCATTTCAGATCCACACAACTTAAAGATCTGCTGCCGAGTGAACGGGGAAGTGGTCCAGAGCAGCAACACCAACCAGATGGTATTCAAGACGGAGGACCTGATAGCCTGGGTCTCCCAGTGAGTGCCAGGGCCTGTCCTGCCAGTCCCACTCCATCCGC